TAGAAATGGTCTACTTCTGTGTACTTGAATTGAGTTTCAGTACTGGCAAACCAGTCAAAAGAGAGCTTTGTCTGCACTTATAACTAAGAGCCAAGGACTTCTTGGTCATGAGAGGTAAGATTTTGTGTAGTCTCTCTGTGCCCCAGGTTCACTTTCCTTGGGCAAATTACTAAAGTCAGCAATTTCAAACTTGGGAGACTGGAGTTAGGTGTTGACAGCCATCTTTAAGTACCTAAATAAGTGGTCTCATTTTAAGAGGTCCTGAGCACACCATTCTTTTTGACTTCAAAAGAAGCTGCAAATGCTGTGTCCACTTTGATTAATTGAAAGGCTGACCATCAAAGTGAAATTATGTTGCCAAGCTAAAGGAAAAGAAATAAAGACTTAGCACACTGTGTAAATCAATCGCAGATCAGAGTTTACTGGGTATAAAACGTACAGCATCTTATGTGCCCTTTTGTACTTTCTGAATCTCACTGGGCCCAAAACTACAGCAGAAAACCCCTCACGGTTTGTGAAATATGGCAATGCCCAGAAACATTTGCCAGTTTAGCCACTGAAAAATAGATATGGCTGCTCAGAATTTATACTGTTTGCTAGGGCCTTAGGTGAAAAGAAAACGAAATTTTAAAATGCTTATTTTTTTTTCATTTGAAGGTAATGTCTTAAATCCTCGAGAGATGAACAGCCTACTACCTTCCCCTACTTTGATCGATCTGTCTTTGAGACATGATTTACACCTTATTATAGTACTTCAGGTTACGGCCTCTGTTCCTGAAAGTTTTGTGGAGATAGGTGTCTGGGGAGGAAAGAAAAAAAAAGACCCGATAAGTGCCCTGATGGAAAAAAAGGCTCCAGTGTGTGTGTGTGTTGGTTGTGTTTGCCAGTCCTCACAGCAGAGGAAATGCTCTGTGCAATGGAAACTTCAGCTGGGTACTCAATAACTCTTGAGGATAATATCATGAGAAGACAGAATTTGCTAAAACCACTGTTGGCAGAATTACAGGTTTTTTTGGGGCTTGGTTTGCCAGCTCTTACACCCTCTTGGTGTTTCCTGGGTCATCAGCACATTGAGGCAAACCAGAGTGCCAGGTTTAAACATGGCATTTGTGGTGCACATACATATTTGGTATAATGTAGACTGAGCCATCAGAAGTGCTGTTACTCAAAATAACTGCAAATTTGGCACAAAATGAATGTTTAGTACTGAATAACGGAATAGTTTTTCTCACAAGTGTGTCACCTTCCCCATCTTAGCAGCTCCTTGCCACCAGCACCCAAGTACTGATCTGCCTGTACTGCCCTCTGATGCATCTTCTAGTGACAAGAGGCTGCCATTACTGGTAACTGTGGGTGTGGAAGCAGGAATTGCTTCCATCCTTTGCTGCTTGACCTTCAATACTGGGAGGTGTGTGTGAATTTGGAAATCTGTTTTATCTTCATTCTCTCCAGTACTTCTGTATACAGCTGAAGGCTAGGTGATAAGTTTTTGTCATGGCTCTTTTATATTGCTGGCACACGTTCTGTTATCTGATAAGATTAGTAAGTCAAGCAGCATGAATGATTATTAAGTATAATTGTTTGTTTATATAAATATGACAGTAAAAGAGGTTACTCACACAGGCCAAGTGACCCAATTATTCAGATTTTGAATGTGTAGAGATGTGTTATATTGCTACACTCCAGGGAAAGAAAACCTATGTTGAATTGCTCAGTAAGTTAATTTTTTTTTACAGTGCTAGTACCCTGTTGATGAGGAACTGCTGGAGAGTTCCTCAATACTACATGTTGTATTTCTGTCCCTAGGCAAAAAAAGTTTTTGTAACTGCCTTAATAAGTGACCATTTCCTGCAATGAATGCTGATCTACCCAGGTCTTCCTGTCAGAAAGTTCAACTGTACATAAGTAAAGTGATAGCATTAGGTTTCAACCCAAGTCTTCTATAGCTCCTACTTGATATTTTCAGCTTGTTGATTTAAAAGTGGGCTTGGAGATTTCCATTAGGATTGCTGCAGGCTTTATCTTAGCCTCTATGCAAAAAAGTCTTGAAATTATATGGACAGCTTCATTTTTAAAACACTTGGCTTCAGTAGGAAGCTAGCCAAACTGAGAGAGCTAGTATTCTCAGAGTCAGTGTTTTTTGGCTGATCATAGCCTTTGTAGTTTAGCCAGTTTAAAAATCCACAGCACAACCAAAAGCACCTAAAACAACAGTAAAGCCCCAGTAAAGCAGAAGAATGAGTGTGATTAATCTAAACTGTAGACTTCCAGTGATTTCTTTCTCTACCATGCCCATTTATTGGTAGCTGAGCAGCATACCATTGTAACAGTGCAGAGGTCTGTAAAAGCAGGGCTTCCTCCTGCAGCTTCCTGTTGGGCAGGAGCAAACACAAACTGTACTCCACTGTTAAGTTGTGCATAGCCCATCTTTACGTGTATCTCCCATGACAGACCTTTACTGTGCACCTCGGGGTCAGCCACTGGATGCTGCTTTGTTTCAGATCACGAAACTGATCCCTGTAGTCAGATTTAAAAGAACAGGCAATTGCCCAGTTCACAGAGAGCAGCTCTGGCCCTAAGGGAGGCCACCTTCTAGACTGGGATCTCCAAGCAAGGCTTCATTACTCCTCATTTCCTCCAGAAACCTGACTGAGCGACAAGGAAGCTGTTAAAAAATATTTTATCAATGTTTTCTTTAAGGAATGTGGATTTGCCCAAAATGAAACAGTCTAAGGAAGTGCAAGCTTCCAACTTGTTTCCTGCCTTCTTACCTGGCAAATTTTCTGGGACTTCATGGCAGTTTGCTTGAGGAAATTTATTTGAATTTGCATCCTCCAGGGCCTCCACTCCAGCATGCCACTGAAACAGGAGCCTGGCAGCAATGGTGCAGCTGGGAGATCTTGGCCTCCTGGCTGGAATGCCCTCAGAAGCTAGCAACTTCGGGTGAAATAGAGAAACTGGAATTTATATAATGAATCCTACAAGGAATTGGTTTTTTCTAAGGTGTAATTTAACTGCGGTAGATCCAGCTAGTAAATACTCAATTGTAAAGTATACTGCAATGTTTAGAGACTGAAAGTTACTCAAATTACTTAATCTTCCCTCAACCGGTCATATAACCAAGTCACAGAATCTTCCAGAACTGGAATAGCCAGCTGCTCCCCTTTTGTTAAGGAAAGGGACTTGTATGTTTTTGTGTAATTTTTTGTGTTTTTCTGGCAGTACTTTTCTTTCTGGGGATGATTTCTGGACACTGTAGATGTTCCTACTTGGAGCTCACTTTAGAAGTCTTATTTATAACTAAAGAAGTTCTGATATAAAAACTTACAATTAAACCAGAACTGGGTTTTTTTTAGGACATTAAGGAAAATGTGCAAAGATAATACAGCTTGATGTTGCACTCATATTTATGTCTTTATGTTATATCTGCAAAAAGCATGTACAGTTAGGTTAGTTTTGGATTTTGTTGTTACATGTCTCAGATATGTTGATGTCAACCTTCCTTCACCTTGAAAATAGGCTTGTGTGGGCCTGAGAAGTTCTGGGAGCACTCCCAATATTCAACTGAACTGACAGATATATTCTTAAAACCAGGGGTGTGTTGGGTTTTGTTTTGGTTGTTGTTGCTGGTTTGTTTCTTTTTTTTCTGTTGATAAATTTTATGTAACTCAGACTAATAACATTTAGCAAATTCACATCCATTGAGTTTATAATGTTGGAATTAAGTGGTTTTCCATAGGCACAGATAAATGTTCATGTTAGCTTTGTGCGTAATTACAATTAATACCAATTTTCTTTTTGTTGCAACTTTAAATAGTTTTTGTTTTTAAATTTCTTATTTATGTACCCCTTCCCCTATTTCTCTATATTTGGAATTGGACAGCAATTGCATAGCAACCTGATTGTTAGTCATGTTTGCTAGGGAGGTTAGAACTGTGAAATCCTGTTTTATTGCTCTAGCAAAATTGTAGGATTTGTGGAGAGAAACATCGCCCCCCCCCAAAAAGAAAAAAAAAAAAAAAAAAAATCCCAAAAAGAGAAAAGACAGAAACTACTGAAACAAAAAACCCATAGCAAAATCTANAAAATTGTAGGATTTGTGGAGAGAAACATCGCCCCCCCCAAAAGAAAAAAAAAAAAAAAAAAGAAATCCCAACTCCAAAACAAAACCAAACTACTGAAACAAAAAACCCATAGCAAAATCTATAATCTATGAAAAGTATGTGGCTCTTCTTCTCACTATAATTGCTCCACTAGTTTTTCAGATATTTTCAGAGGTCTTTAATTATTTAAAATTTATATGACATTTTACAATTGCTGTTATTTTATACTCTGAAAAATTGGTTACTTTCATGTCTGAAATCACAGAGAAATCACATGAACTAAATATTACATTCTTGCCACTGCTTTTATGCATTGCATGTTTAGCATCTAACTAAAATGCGAGTAGAAAGCTCATCTTGAAAGAGACTACTTAATTAAAAATTAAACGATGAATTAAAACTTAAATTATGCAAAACTAATAAGCAGCGTTACCAAAACACACAATTAATTTGCTACAATATATGGAAAGAAAATGTTAGCGTTTTCACTTTTGTTTCATGTTTGCATTGCAGCCTGCACAGTCTGCTGTTTTGGAATTCCTCACCTTGAAATATTTGACATATCTGAATTAAGATATAAATCAGTGATTTTTAGGTTGTGAGTTTTGCAAAACTCATCAGAGATTAAAACTTTGATAGTGCAAAGGAATCTGTTATAAAGTGGGGCGAATCCAATTATTTTTCAATTAGTGCAATATCACTTCTTTGTATAAGATTCAAATCAGTGCATCGTATCACCTTGTTCAAATCGATAGAGTAAAAATGGACTTTTTGACAAAAATTGCTATTTAACCTATTGCTCTAATTCCATGGTATAACAGGTTTATTTTTTACTGGAATTGCTTTAAACTAATTGCAAATGCTGAGATTCTGCATACAGTAATTATGTGTGCTTACCTTTATAGAGACCAGACGAAACATGCCTTTAAGTTCTGTGATCCATTTAGCTGTTTAAAGGAGATATTCCTTAAGTCCTGTGTCAGAGGCACAGGAAAGTGTTTTCTTAGTAGATGTGGGGATGTGTTTCTGTGTGTCTAAAATACTGCAGTGGCTAAATGCTAGACATGCTGCAAAGTACTCAGTGCTTTACTGTAACACAAGCAAAGGGAGACATTTTCAGTAGTATCTGCTGGTTTTTTTCATTATTATATTCTTCAACCTGAGAAAAGCTTAGATGGCTGAAGGAAAAGAATTAGGGAATTAAAGAAAACTCCATCTGATTAAGTAAATTATGATGCTTGAATCTAATACTTTATTATTGCTGTACTCTGGAAGGTGGAACTACATTTACATTTGCATTTCTTTACATTTTAGTATTACATAAAATAACATTTGCTTTTAATGTTTCATATCAAATATCTTCAGCACTTTTCTCTCAGGTCTTGCTAATTTAGCCTTTGTAGCTATATCAGTAGTTGTTTCTCTGGCATTATAATTTAAAAGTTTACATTAAAAATAAAATCAATACAGGGATAAAAGCATGAAGAGTACAGCTAAAATAATTTATAATAGATCTATTGGTGATGAAAATCTAAGGAATGAATATTGTGTATAATAAAGGCAATTATCTGAGCTGCTTATAAGGAAAAATACTGCTCTTGGTGTTGGGGGATGGAAAGAGGAGATCATGGAAGCAGTTACAGCTCTAATTTTCTGGGTTGAGCTATGTTAGCCCTGGCATAAATTGCAGCAGCCTAGAGGTACATGTGCCATCTGAGGATTGCATTCTGCCCTGACATCTTTGTGACTGTGTCACAGAGGTGTGGGGGAGAGAGAGCAAAGGCACTGGCGTCTGCTGGGGATTTGCACACACTGGGAGGTCTGAAATTTCTTCAGTCATCCTCTCACACGTCAAATGCAGGCTTTGGTTGGTTTGCACAAACTAAAGTCCAGTGGAGTGGGTTGTGATAAGAAAACTGGCTTGGTATTTAACCTGAGTGATTTTTCTTACTTCTGCATTTATCAGGTAAAAGTTCTCTCTTCAACAAAATGAAGTGTTTAATCTACTATCACAAAGAGTAAAATGTGAATAAAGATTGACTTGACATAATCCTTCTAACTGCTCTTGATGGACATCTTAAGATTCAGCTTAATTTAATTGAAATCTTAAACTCTGTCTTTTTGGGAAGCTCTTTTCTTTTATGTCTATGGTTAAGTGAGCAAGGCAATGACGTGCTCCCTTAACAACTGTTCGAGTATCATCGGGCTGATTGACTAATGTTTCTGCCCTTTTTATGCACTTCTGGTGTTCCATCATGGCTTTCTCCTTTCTGTGCATATAAGTGGATTTATCTGAATGATAATAAGCCAGATGGTTAGGTGGTAGGCCAGGTATTTTGAAGGTAAGGATATTCTTTGTCATAGAGCCATGTTAGCCAGGAGCTCTGCACCACATTTCAAATCCTTCAGCAATCTCCCCAGGAGGTGGCAGCTGTAGAAGCCTAATGGATATCATCACCTTCAACTGTCAGCTCCTTTTTTCCTGTCTGTCATGACTGTTTACTTCTGATCATACCAGTTGACATTTATGTGTCACAATAGAAAACTGAACCAGTGCAGGAGTAAAGGCGACACTGGGTTTACGGTTACTTCTTGTATCACAACAGGCAGCTGGCAACTCATTAACACCATGTGGAGTGTCAAGCATATAGTATATTAAATAAAATTAATGCCCACAGGCCCTGCAAATAAGGAGATGGCCATAACAGACAATGAAATTACATAAATGGTTGAAACAGGAATAGTAGAGGTGACAGATTTTAAAAAAAAGAGAAAAAAAAAAAGAAAAGAAAAAAGACAGGGAGCAGGGATGAGTCTGTAGGCCAAGGTACATGAACATGTCAAGCCTTTGACTGTCATTCCTTGTCATTTTCTTATTTACCCTCTGAAGAAGGACATGTGGCATGGGAGAGATCTGGCAGGCATCTGGTGACCTACTGGAATCTCTGTGTTTGGCAGCAATGGTAGTGTTAAAATCCTCAAGGATATCCCCCCACATTCTCTTTAGCCATTATTTAACAGTGAGCCTGAGTACAGAAGAATTGTACTCAATTGTGGTGATCCACGGAGAGCATGTTAGCTTGAGTTTGGTCCTGAGAGTGAAAGAAAAGTGCTTCTCTTCATAAATAGCTAACATGCCTTTATGTAAAGCAATCTTGGAGTCTTTTACTTAGATTCTCTGGAATAACCACTCTTCTTTTGTATTAGATGGGTTATGTGGGCCATTGGTCATATGCTTTGCTCAATTTGCAAATACTGCTCTGTGTCTTTTGTCTCATGTAGTGAATGGTTTTGCTACACCACGGGCTTAATTTGCAAAGGTAACATACCTGAGACATGTATATGGTGAAACAATTTATATAATTTATATAATTTATATCATACGAGATGTTTCATTCCAGATAATCTCAAATTTATTGAAAGTTTTATACAGAGGTAAAACTTCTTTAAAAAGTAATCAATAATTGCAAATTATTTTCTATATCAGAATTTTAAACATAATTTGAAAGTAAATTGACATTAGGATCTTTTTACTTAACAGGAGTTTTAGATCCTATTTGGATTTATTTACCTAAATACGTTGGATAGAGGTGTTCCAGACTACTCAAATACTGTCAGGCATTCCAGGAAGCATAGCAAATAATGCCTAGAGGAAATGATGGGTAGAATTTAGTGCAGAAAATGTCATTACAATCATGAAATTTTATACTCACTGGATATTATAAACCACTGAATTTTCCTTTAAGTTAAACAGGCAGATCCTGTAGACTGCAAATAAGCTGTCTTTGGGCACTATTGGGACCATGCCGTTCCTGCCAGTAGTACATGTTGGTTCAGATGAGTTCAACAGGCAAGAATTTACACAACACATCAGTCTTTTATGTCATTAAGCTGATGGAACCATGTTTAAAGAGAAAATGAAGAAAAAAACCTATATTTTTGTTACTTTAACAAGCTGCTTTACAATTTCTCATAAGAAAGAAGAAAAAAAATGGAACACCATTCATTGTCATAATTAAATTGCTACAAAAAATAATTGTGGACCAGTGTATTGTCTCATTAAAAAAATAAAAAAAGGTACCTGCTTTGATTTCATCTTTTGCCAGTTTATTTTATGCATTTATTGTTCGTTAATTAGAGTTCCTACATATTTGCCCTTCTTGCCTGATTGCCTTTGCCTTTTATAGCTACGGCAAGCTTTCCTTGCCTTTGCATTTGAGATGAGCTGAGATAGCCACCTACGGTGATTGCGTCAGTTCCCTTCATAATTTTTATTAATCCTCACTGAACATTTTTTTCCCTAATGAAAACAGAGGTCTCCTGTATTTCATTTACTTTTTTCATGTTCTCGGGATCATCTATCATTCTGAATAGTTTCTTATATCTGTTCTCCACTTCCTCAAGGTGGCTGGGATGCTGTTTTGAGTGCTGTGGCCCTGCTAGAGCCATGCATACTGCTAGAATAATGCTCTCTGACTCATATGTGACAAAAAGGTCAGGTTTTCAAAGGCTGCTGGGCAATCATGCTGACCCAACTACTGTAGTGGGCTGGCCAGCTTGCTGACAATGGAGCAGTTGAAGTGACATGCAGATGGCATAGGGGCGTTGCTGCCTTTGCTGGTGGGACCATAGGATTTGGGGGATATGATGATGGTTATGATGATGAAACTACTGTTTTGTTTTTCCTACTATGCTGTCAGAGAACATCCACCACCATGTAATGAAGTGAAATAAGTGGATCTTGTAGTAAAAACTTGTTAAAACTCCTGATGTGTAACTTTAGACATTTTTTGCATAGCCAGAAGAGGTAAAGCAGCTGCAGTTCAAAATGCAGAATGGAAATACTGAGTTGTATTAATTTTCCATTTAAATGACACATAATAAATAAAAAAGTAAGTGCCTATACACTAGAAGGAGGATTAAAAAACATAAGTTTTTTTTTTAGTGTTAGATCAGATTACTTAATGTGTTGCTCTATTTATTTTATTAACAGATCAAAGGGGATACTTAGTGAGCTTTGAGCAGTTTGTAAGCATTTGTGTTCAAAATTTTCTTGCATTGTTACATGGACAATATTCTTTCATTCTGGGATAATGAGGAAAGGAAAAATCCTATCTTGCATCAAGGATGAATAAAAAAAAATGGATAGACACATCTGAAAAGGAGGAAATAATATCATTATGTATTTTTTCATCTATCTGTGTAGAATTGCCACAGAGCTGGTGTAGGTGACCTGTCTGTCTGTGGCCTTTCTCTCTGCTCAGAGGAATGTACTTTGATTGCCACCTTCCCCTCTGCTCTGGGCAGCACAGACCCTGCTTTGTGGTGACTCTATCCAGTAACTGGTGCAGGAGGCAGCATCCAGTGCTTCTTACTGTAGGGAGCAGTGTGATGCTCCGCTGTTGATCACCACAGGACCTTATTTCAGTCTTCCTTCACCTTACCCTGTTCCTGGGCAGTGTAGGTGCCTCCATCTGAACATGGAGGTTTCGGCCTGTGCCATGCTGGCTGTGGGGCAGCCAATCTGGTTCTGGGAGCATCCCTGCCCACTGGGGCTTAATGGGGGCTCTGCTCCCCAGGATCAGGATGTTACCCAGGGGGTGGCTGGCAGAGCCTGAAGGCAGAGGGTGCTGCCCCCTGCATGCCTACATGCATGGCTTCAACCATGAGGGCCTTCTGTGTTTGGGTTTGTGGTGCCAACAACATCCTGCCATTTTCACTAGAAGTCTCCTGATACTGTGTATTTAGGTAAGAATCCTGAAAAGATCACTTATTGGGATGGGGGATATAGTGATCTCTCTGCCCCCTGTACTGTGTGCTAAAGGCTCACAGTGCTGCAGGAGGCATGGAAATAGTTGGTTTTGGCTGGGGGTTGAGTTGCTCCTGGGGCTGGTGGGCTTTGTGTGAGCACCCCCAGCAGCTTCAGAACCTTCCTCATCCATGATGTGAGGGTGTGATCCCTGCAGGAGCAGTGCTTGGTTGGTATTTGATGGGGTTTTTAGCCCTAGAGGGTGTCACTTCACGGGGTGGAAAGGAGGACTGTGTTT